TGTGTAAAAATATTTACTTTATATTGCTTGTAAATGTAAATGTATATTGTAAATTCTCTGTGTAAAGGTTATATCCCTGTGTAAAAATATTACTTTATATTGCAGGAGATAGCAAAAAAAATAAAAATAAGTTTAAATCATCACTTAAAGTTAGATCCAAAGTTTGCCAAGATTATTAAAAAAACTGAGAGTGTTTTGTCAATTACATGTTTCTATGGCTTAAAAAACATGTATACAGTTTTATTCAGTCAATGTTCTAGATAAGTCTGGAAGGAGTCTCTTGACTGCCATAGACTCCATGGATGATGGGTCAATTATAAAGCTGAAGGTATCATCTCCTTCCCTTTTAAAATTTCGTATTGTTATCTGAATAGTGCCAATATAAATACATAATAAAATCTTAGTCTTTTTACTTTGTTTAGGCCAGAGTCTTAGATAAAGGACCCCATTAAAAATAACACTAAAAAAATGGAAAGGAACTGAATTTTTCCAAAACCTCATATTGTCTAATCCCTGTATCTTTGCAACCTGATGGTGTAAACGTCTTATATTTCAAAATAATTAGTTTGAAATATTTAAGGTCTTCGAGATTGAATTGGGTAGCAAAGATGTTAGGATTTGTCAAAAAAAAATCTCATTTTTTAACCATTAAATTGATAATTACGTTTAATATTTACAACTGTTAAAACGGAATTAATATTCAGGTTAAGATTGATGTTGAATTGGGAGAAGCCATCTTTGATTTTGAAGGAACAAGTTCAGAGGTTTGGGGAAACATTAACGCTCCCAAAGCAGTGACAATGTCTGCCATCATCTACTGCCTACGGTGCCTAGTTGGACATGATATACCATTGAATCAAGGTTGCCTGAACCCTGTAACTGTCATTATACCGCCAGGCTCTATGCTTGATCCTTCGGAGAATGCAGCTGTAGTAGGTAAGATAAAAGGCTTTAACCCTATCACAATGGGGGGGGGGTGTTTTCCACCCCCTCCGTTGGTTTTTTCTAAATAACTTAAAAACGACTTGCATTAGATTGGTGAAACTACTTCACTTTTTCAATTTTTTAGATGTGTAAAAAAAATTTGTCCAAATTTTTTTTGGATGAACAGGGTAGGGTAGAGGACAGTCAAATGACGGGTCAGTGTATCAAAAAAATCAGAAATGCTTAAAAACTTTTTTATTAGTTAAGCTACAGGGCTAAAATTTATTTATTTGAAAAGCCTTTAAAACATGGAAGTATTAACATGTGTCACATGTTAATACTTGTCAAAATAAAAATGATTTTTTGTCAACATTTTTCCGATATACTTTTTGAACTTTATTTAAATCCTCCCTTTCACCCTAATCATTTAAAAGTTAGAGGTCTAATATTTTTTTAAATGTGCAGGCCTTAAAAATCAGACTTAAGACATGTATCATACTCAAGTAAATGATTTATAAACATTGCAACGATTTATTTACTCACTAATTTGACAAAGACATTAAGACCAAACTGAACTGTAAACTAAATATTTCTTGTTAATTAATTAATTAATCATTAATATTTTTCTTCGGACAATTAGTATCCTTAGTATACCTTACAAATCAAATGGAAAATTTTCAAATTTTTGTATTTGAAAATTTTCCATTTCAAATAAATATTTATGTTTAGTAAAGTTTTTTTTTCAAAAATCTGAGTTAAAGAGGGGGATTTGAAATATTTGAAATATTAGTGCTTAAAGCTTGGATTAAATTTTGGTTGGTAAATCTCATTTTAATAGAGGGTTTAACGATAATAATGAGATGGTCAGAAGAGAAAAGAAGAAGAAATATATATTTTATGGCTTATACTTACCCCGCCCCCGCCCCTTTTTTGTCAAAAGCAATGTCATATTTGTCTCTTTTTGTTTTCTCGCTGATATTTAATTTTTTCTATCTTGGATTTTTTAGGTGGGAATGTTTTAACATCTCAAAGGATTGTCGACGTTGTCCTCCTTGCCTTTGAGGCCTGTGCAGCAAGCCAAGGGTGCTGCAACAACATCACCTTTGGAGATGAAAGTTTTGGTTACTATGAGACTGTTGCGGGGGGGTCAGGGGCTGGACCTACCTGGAACGGTAGAAGTGGAGTTCATGTTCATATGACAAACACAAGGTAAAGGTGGTTCAATACTGGAGTAGGAGTGGAGTTCAAGTTCATATGACAAACACAAGGTAAAGGTGAACTGAATACTGGAGTAGGAGTGGAGTTCATGTTCATATGACAAACACAAGGTAAAGGTGGATTGAATACTGGAGTAGGAGTGGAGTTCATGTTCACATGACAAACACAAGGTAAAGGTGAACTGAATACTGGAGTAGGAGTGGAGTTCATGTTCAAATGACAAACACAAGGTAAAGGTTGTTGGTGATTTCTTAAAGAACGATTTTTGAACCGCCTACGTCCCTCCCCCAATATCAGTATTATTCACTTTTAGTTCGATCGATAGATATTAGATAGATCAGTCGCACAGTATCAAGAATTATTGCTAATTTATTTTTACGAGGTCAATAGCATTATTAAATGAAAAAGATAAACACTTTAAATCTAAAATCATGATTATCTCGAATTTGAATCGCTGATAGTAGGACCACCCTAAAACTTGATTTATTTTGATTTAACACTGTAAAACTGATGAGAATGAGTTACAATATGTAAGATAATGTGTAAGAAAATGTAACTTGTACACTGCACACTGTACAGTGGTAGGCGATCAATACAATTAAGATGACTTTTTTATTTTAGTTTTGTTTTTTAACAAGCTTTTTTCGAATTACAAGTTTAAAAGTAATCAAAGAGAACCTTTTTTTTAAATTGCCAGCTTCTCTTGACTTCTGTTTTTGTGTCCATGCTGTTTAACAGCTAGATATAAATCAAAATTGAAATCGAAAGTCATCGAAATTGTATTGAATTAAACGCCTACCACTGTAAATAATAAAGAAACCCAATATATTTTAGGTTGACTGACCCTGAAATCTTGGAGAGAAGATATCCTGTAATCCTGAACAAGTTTAGCCTCGCCCCTGGATCAGGAGGGGAGGGGTTATACCATGGGGGAGAAGGAGTTCTTAGAGAGATTACGTTCAGGTTGGGCTCAGGGTTCCTCAGCGCTGTTTGCCAATTTGTTAAGTGCTCAAAGATGGTATCTTCTGACATATTGCAATTTTTTATATTATAATGTCAGGGGTAGTGCTTTTTTGAGAAATAATCCCCCCCCCATCACCTCTTCTAAAAAAATATTTCCCCCATTAGCAAAGAAATGGTCAATGGTCATTGATCTATTAAAATTACTATAAAGGGACTGTAAGGGTATTTTAAGTGGGCCTCCATGGCAGTGCCCGATTTACAACGGTGCCATTAAAAGCTTTGTCTGAAGATCAAGTATGAATTAGATATGCATTCGAATGTGTTTATTCTTACCTCTTCTTTACATTTGTATGATCTCTGCAAACGTGACCTGCGCATTTCTTGATAATAAGTAAAAATGAGAAATACACAAAAAAAGTTTTCGTGTAATCTTACACATTTTTGATCAGATTAAAGTTTAAAAGGATCTGTTGTAAATCAGGTATTGCTATCTTTGCACGGAGACTCGCATAAAATTACGCTTACAGTCCCTTTAACAGTTGTAATTTAATATTTAATCTATGTTTAGGAAATCTCTTGATCTCTCCGTTCTAACAGAGAGGCGTGTGCTTGCTCCATATGGCATGGCTGGGGGGCATCCAGGACAAAAGGGACAAAATACGCTGGTAAACTTTATTAAAAGGACAAAATACGTTGGTTAACTAAATTAAAGGGACAAAATTCGCTGGTAAACTTTATAAAATGGAAAAAATAATTAATTAAAGGGACAAACACGCTGGTGAACTTTACAAAAGGGATAAAATACGCTGGGAAACTTTATTAAAGGGACAAAATACTCTGATAAACTTTATTAACGGGACAAATACTCTGATAAACTTTATTAAAAGGACAAATACTCTGATTTTTATAAAATGGGACAAAATACTCTAATAAACTGTATTAAGGGGACAAAATACGCTGGCAAACTTTATTAAAGGGACTGTTCTGTTGTCCTGACGTTGATATTTATTATGAAACACATCAAATTACTCTAGGTTCATAATTGATTTGGTTTTTCGGTTATATTTTTTATAATACATTGTTAATACTGTCAGAATTAATATATTTTTATTAATGTGTTAAAGATTAAATGCTTAGTTTTTCCTTTAGAAAAAAAGTAGTTTTTATCAATGGAAGTCTAAAACCTAAAACTTGAACAAACATAGCTAGGAAATCGTCAATATTGGCCTTAATTGGAGTCCCTAGTTACTACTACGTTTTTTTGAGGTCACCCTGTAATTTTTTCGCCGAGCAGTTGACATACTCTCATTTATATTATTATTTTCAGCAGACTATCCATCATGCTATGAAAAAGGGGGGGGACGCTACTCGCCACTAGGGGCGGCTCATAATATTTTCAAGGGGGGGGGGGCGGATNAATTTGTACAGTAAATTCGGTCAATTTTATGTCAAAAACATATGTAGTTCGGGGTAAGAAGGTGAAAAATCTGACAGTTAGATTTGGAATTTCATGAAAAATATTCATTTTAAGTGGAAAAGTGGCGCTGCAAGGAAAAAATTTTTTAATCCATACTTAAAAATAAAACTTAAAGGGCTAGACGTTGCCTGTTCTCTCTTCTTGCGCTCCAAATTTTTCCAGGAGGGGAAATCCCCCCAATTTTCCAGGAAGGGGGACGTCCCCCCTTACCCCTCCCATAACCCACCTCTGCTATCCACCGCAGTGTTCTCTTATATGTCCTAAACATTAAAAAAGTGAACAGCTAATTCAAGCTCATGGAACGGTTATTCTTTAAAATTATAATTACAAACAGTTACACGTTGTAAATATAATGATGAATAATAATAATAAGCACATATTTTGAAAGGATGATAAACCCGTCTTAAAAGAAAGAAAAAAGAATAGATCTTGTAAGGAAATGTTCTCACACTTTCTTGTTAAACATTCATATTTTAGTATTTAATTTACCTAGTTCATATTTGTATGTTATTTTATACTTTTAAAGATAAATTATCCTGGATTAGTCTTATGATGCACAGAGCATATTTTACCAGTTGTACGTTTATTTTTAACGAGGGATTTGATAAGTATTATTATCATTTTCCCTAGAAATTTGATCATTCTATTTTTTATTATGTCTAAATACTAAATTTACAAAGAGGCATCACACTAAACTATGTAAAGTATGGGAAACTAAATTATCATGCATTGGCTTCTTTTATTTAGTTCTTAAGTTCCACCTCTAGATAAAATTTTATTTAGATGGGGGAGGGCCAGGGGGGGGGAGCCAGGAATTGTTCTCTACATTGTACTAGTTAATGAATATTCAGTTTTATGTATCAGTCATTTCAAATGCTGAAACCTGAAACTTTAACTATGGAAAAATCAGAATAGTCTCCGCTCGGGAATATGCACATTGCACATTATCCGTTTTTCAAACATTTTTGGCTTCCAAGGGCTCCAAAACTTTCTAGTTATAATATAATTATATAGTATACAGCCTTATACCGTTTTCATAATGCAAGGAAAGTTTATTGTAGTTGCATATACTCTGCGTACATATTGAAACCTGTTCTCTCTGGGCGGATTTGACACTTTTGATGAAATAGTTTCATCCTTACTTAAAAGGTTAAAAAAAAATTATTTAGATCACCCATGATGGTCGGATCTTGAACCTGGGAGGGAAGTGTTCTGTTCCTGTTCAACCAGGAGATATGTTCCGCCTTCAGACACCCGGGGGCGGGGGCTGGGGTACACCCACAAACAAGACGGTAAGTTGAGGGGGGGGATGCCGGGTACCCTTTAAACAACACAGTAAGAGGGGGGGGGACAACCATAAATAAGATAATAAGGGGGTCCAAAAATCGTTCTCTAGGACAGACCAATGAATTCTGTTAATTTCCTTCATTATTTTAGCATAAATCCGCATTTTCTCTTACAACATATTAGAAACCACAATTGATAATAATTGATTTTTGCTCAGACCAAGGTTTAAAGGGTACCATTGGATCTGATTGCCATGCACTTTATACAAACAATTCTTTATTTTTTTTCATTGTAAACCAAGTTTCGTAAGATTTTGCAAATCTCTGCATATTTGTTATAGTACAGTGTCAGAGCTTTTCAAAAATGGAAAGGTTGTCATGTTTTTCACAATTTTACTTAACTGTTTTCTCACTTATAAACTAAATACTGAACAGCAAAAGCGTTTCCAAAGTTTCAAATTCAGTTGTAATATTTGTACAAATAAGACAGAATTAAGAGGTTAGTTTAAAAAACTAGTTATTGAAATACCAGTGTGTCACAAACTTTATTGGGGTCTTAGCACTCAATATCAATAAAAACAAAACAGTAAAACCTTGATTCATAAATATAAGACACAGATCTTCAACATTTCATTTCTTGATCTGGGTCTGATTTTCTCTCCTTTTTTTGGATGACTTAGGATCTAATATCCAGCAAACGATTTCTTCTATAAAGTATTTCACTAGTTCGATCAGTAGATTAAGATAACCCACTACTATTCTCTACCTTCTCCCCATCTTAAAACTCAGGGCACATTCAACATGCTAGTAGCATCCACTTGAAAAATCAAGCAAATAAATTGAAAAACAAACTAAACTAAGGAAACAATCACACCACATGCATTATTTTCAAATGAAGAATCAACTTTTCTTATAAAAGGGTTTTTAACATTTTAGCATTGTAACATACAGCGATGTCAAAACAAGTTTTTAATATCTAATTTCATGGGTATGTGCTTATGAAACCTTACAAATATGATATAATATTAATTTTATGAGGATAAAAATTTTAAAAATGGAATTCTTAAACTCAATGAAATAATATTGATGCATTCTTTAATTCAAGCCTTGGGCTTTCGTTAAGGAAAACATCAAGATTATTTCATCTCATTTAAGGATTTCCATTATTATATTTTTTTCCTCATAAGATTATCATATTATTTCTGTTAAATCCAATAGCCTAAGTTTGAAATATCTAAGGTTTACACCATCAGGTTGAAAAGATATAAGGATTGTAAATATTAGTTAGTGGCAAAAACTCGTTTCTTTTCTCAATATTTATAGGTTACAAAGGTTTAATGAATATTAATAAAATCTAAATATATTAAGATGTAAATTTTTCTTCTGTATAAATCTAGTAGTTTTTTTACATGTAGCTCTTTATGAGTTTTTCGGTTTTTTGTTTGTATGGTTGTTAGTAAACTGAATATTTCATAAATAAGGACCGAATGGTTAACCACTGTTCTATGTGTGCATTTACTTTAATTAATGAGTGAATGGTCGTTGCCTTGTTAGATTTGTATACTAAGTATTGTAGCGTATGAAAAATATTTATTTGATTTAAAATGGAATATCTTAATTTGGATTATTTATATCACATTTTTATGGTATCATGGAAAAATGTCTCAACTTATATTTAAAAAAATATACTTTACCTTGTTCTTGAAGGACACAGTACGTCACCAGATGCGTACTCTTGGAGATGATCTGAAGCGTGGAGATGTTATCCTAGCAAACCATCCTAAAGCTGGAGGCTCCCACCTACCTGACCTGACAGTCATCACCCCTGTCTTCTACGAGGACAGCATCAAGCCAGTTTTCTTTGTGGCAAATAGAGGACATCATGCAGATATTGGTGGTATCAGTCCTGGGTCAATGCCTCCTCATTCTAAATACCTATGGCAGGTTGAAAATCTTAGTTATTGTCAAAATAGATAGAAAACCATGATTGTGGGAAAAAAAACGTTTCAAAGAGCTCCATATAGTTATTCATTAAAAAAATATCTTCAGCATTCCATTATCATTAAGTTATGAATAGAACATTTTATTAATGCTTTCAATGTGTCTGGGTTAAACTGTACCCCTAACAGCTTATTTTTATTCAAAATTGTAAATTTTCTGCGGAGTGAAACTTTTCTGTAGGGACATTTTTTTCATTTTCCTTTTTGTGGGGTTTGGATGTTGACTGGGGATCCATGGCTAGAGTTGGGCACGAACTTGATATTGTTTGCCATTCCGTTCAATTTAAATGTATTCAGGAAATTTCACGTCTAAGTTAAAAAAAGACAATCTTTCATGGCGACCAAGCACCAGTTTGCTTAGTTAATAACTTAAATTTAGGAGGGGGCAAGCTTTAAATCCTTCAAGATAGTGAAGGCAGGAGAGTTCCAGGAGGAGGAACTTACTGCTGCTTTAATGGCGCCTGCACAGTACCCGGGATGCACTGGTTAGTTTAGTTTTTGAAAAAGTATATCATAGGTCAAAACTTTTAAATTTGAAACTTGCGACTTTAGCTCTCAGATCCGTTGGATGGTTAAACTTGAGATATTTTACTCCTAGACGTTTCTCATGTACAGCTAGAAAACTGCATGAAACATTATAAAGTAGGTTAAATTTGAAAACTTAAAACAAATAAGCATGTTTTTGTCTTCATTTGAACCATTTCTTTCACCATATGATTTGTTTAGGAACAAGATTGCTGCAAGATAACCTTTCGGACTTGAAGGCCCAAATTGCTGCTAATCACAAGGGTATACAATTGGTGTCAGAGCTCATTGATCAGTATGGACTAGACGTGGTCCAGGTAACGTAAACATTCTTCAGATAAAAATATATTTCAAAATTTTTTAATGAAACGATAAACTTAAAAGTTTGTTGTTTTCTTAAGATTTAAATTACACCATAAATATCTGTGGAATTATCATAACTCATTTATGTATAAATGGAAAGTTTTTGACGATTGTATGGTTTCAGGCCTATATGGGGCACATCCAGCATAATGCTGAGGTAGCAGTTAGAGAGATGCTGAAGATAATTGGAAAGAAGGCGAAAGGTATTTAATTATGGTAAATAATGGTCGTTTCGTTTGTATAAGGAGAGTAAAATCTTTCATGGGGGGGGGGCCTAATTTAAAAAAAAATGTTTTTAATTCTTGTTTTTTCGTTAAAAGAAAAATATGGACCTTGGATGGTTCATGTGCCCCACAATTGTTTTCCTTCTTTGTTAAATTTCACCTCTTCATATCATTGAAATGTAATTTGCCAGTTTCTGCATTCAAAACAATATTTGGGATGTAAATGTATAGTAGTATCCCGTCTATGGGCCAATAATAAAGAGAATTCTTTGATCAAGTTACTAATATAGTAGTGTACAATACTTGCTATGAACTGAAAAGTTATGTACTTTTCTTTACAGGAGATGGTGGAG